TTTAAAGTGGGCAGTGACGGAGAAATTCAAGGACTACCTGTATGGGAATACATTTACAGTATTCACCGACAACAACCCATTGACATACGTTCTCACAACCGCTAAGCTGGATGCAACAGGTCATCGCTGGTTGGCTGCATTATCAGCCTATAACTTTGACATCATTTATCGTCCTGGACAAAGCAATACAGATGCTGATGCTTTATCACGATTACCAAGACTAACTGAGGAGAATGACACAGAAGCACATGGAGTATCTACAGAATCCGTCACCGCCATCTGCCACACTATCCATGCACAGCCGTTTGTGGAATCACTTAGCCTTTCTGCCGATGTTGTGGATATGGAAATGGACCAGGGACAAGATATCCGCAGTATGACGGAGCGTGATTGGAGAAAGGTACAGTCTCAAGATCCAACCCTCAGGCCATGGATTGATTGTGTAAGGGCTGGTCGGAAACCCCAACGAGACATAGTTCCACAGAACTCTTCACTCTTCAAGATCTTTGACCATCTTGTCATGGAGAATGGAGTTTTATACAGAAACACTCACATAGGAGAAGAGAAGAGAAGGCAACTTGTGCTACCGGCATCCCATGTGGAAATGGCGTTACTTGGATGTCATCATGAGGTGGGTCATCCAGGACGAGATCGGACCCTTACCTTACTTAGAGACAGATTTTTCTGGCCTGGTATGTTGAAAGACACAGAAGAATGGATCCATACCTGTGGAAGATGTCTTAGAAGAAAGTCTCCTACAAATATTAGAGCTCCTTTAGTAAGCATACAGACAACACAGCCATTGGAATTAGTGTGTATGGACTTTTTATCTCTAGAATCATCACGAGGATATGACAGCATTTTGGTTATCACAGACCATTTTACCAGATATGCCATGGCAATTCCCACAAGGAATCAAACAGCTAAGACCACTGCTGAAGCATTTTATAACAACTTTGTTCAGCATTATGGTATGCCACAACGACTTCACACAGATCAAGGCACAAACTTTGAAGGCAAGCTAGTGAAGGAACTCTGTGATATTTTAAAGATCAAGAAATCCAGGACCACTCCTTATCATCCGATGGGCAACGGCTTGTGCGAGAGATTCAACAGGACACTGTGTGATATGCTTGGGACTCTCGCACCTGACCAGAAGAAAGACTGGAAGAATCATGTTGGACCACTAGTTCATGCATATAATTGTATACGTCATGAATCCACTGGCCAGACTCCCTTCTTCCTGATGTTCGGACGTGAACCAAGACTTCCCATCGACCTTGCATTTGGACTTGAGCATAATCGAGAGAAGAGGTCCTTGTTTCAGTACACAAAATCTCTGAAGGAACGTCTCCGTCAAGCATATCAACGAGCTGCTGAAGCATCAAAGACTTCTAAAGAACATCAAAAGGCCAACTACGACATGAAAGTAAGAGGAGCTACTTTGGATGTAGGAGACAGAGTCTTAGTCAAGATCTTAGCCTTTGATGGAAAGCATAAACTTGCGGATCGTTGGGAGGAAGATGTATATGTTATTCTCAGGCAACCAAATCCTACTATTCCAGTTTTTGTGGTCCAAAAGGAGAATTCTGAAGGAAGAAAAAGAACCTTACACCGGAATCATCTCTTACCCATTGGCACCATTCAGACCAGTTCCTGCACCACGACAATTTAAAAATAAACAAAGGGAACTGCAGGAAACAGATGACAACTTAAGCGGGATGACAGAAGATTCCGAGGAGAGGGAATTGTGTATAGTGACTGCTCAGACATATCAGAAGACAGCAGAGGATCATGACTCAACAGCCATGAACAGTGAAGCTGCTGACAGGATTGAGGATTCAGCCCAATTAGTAACTGGTGACGATCAAGGACTTATTGTGGCAGTGGGATCTTCTTCTGGTGGTGACGACCACTCGTCAGAATTGTTAGAAGAGCAGACTGACACGGAAGAAAATCCAGATGCAGAATTCAGTTATGAGCAGAACCAATCTGAGACCTCAACGGCACTCAGAATAGAGGACGATCAGGAGCTGTTAGAAACAACTGACGAAGCCACAGAGCCACATGCAGAAACTACTCTACACCGGCCTACCCCAGCAACTGCAGCCAGACGTTCCAGTAGGGCAACTAGGAAGCCACCTTGGATGACATCAGGGGGAGTACTTGATGAGTCATCAGATCCCAGACCAGGATAGGGAGAGGAGATCTCGGACCATCCAGGAACTTGCTTCCAGTGGAGTGTTGGAACATTTATCTCGTGCTTTTATTTCGATTGTGGATGGTAGCATTAAATGACGAGGATGTCATTATTTGGGAGGGGGGAAGTATGTGGCCGAGATGATTTTATACTTGTTTTGTAAATATTTTAGAAATATGTTTTAGGCCATTAAGTGCCTGTACAAGCTTAACACGTACACAGTATACAGAAAGTAACAATAGATTTACCCCAGCAATTATATAACTCTTAACTTCACCATAGCCACTGTCACTCTAATGATAAGCGCATTGCATTGTCTGCCTTGTCCCATATCCTTATTATGTAAGTCTCCTTGCCTACAGTTCAACTTTATTTCATCAAGCAGTTATCAGATACTACTCTTACAAGTCAGAGGTCCTACACGTTATGCTGAGCGAATAGTTTGTTTTTTTGTGGAATGAGTGACTGTGGACCTCACTTCTATTTATGTATCTATAAGGTCAGTTTGTCTTTTGCTTTCATATTCATGTATTTATTTATATGTCTGTATAGTTGTATATGAATTAAATGCATTAAGTTAATGCATTGATAAGATATATTTCTCTGTTGAACCAACACATTAACTTGCCATTGAGTGTGTTATTGACTAGTAGTTCATAATTAGTATATAAGCATATTTAAATGTTTAGATATTCTACCAGCTTTGAAGGTAATATAATTTCTCTTTTTAATCCATGAACTTATGTCCTGTATTTGTATTGCCATTTTTCCTGGTTGCTCATCATTGTGTAACATTTGTAGAATATCCCGATTGGACACTGTCAACTTAATCGCTGCCAGCTCATTGCCACACAGTGGTAAGTCAGGTGTACATATTATATATATTGACTGTATATCTTGATAAATTGTGGAGACAGTAATGTGTCGGCAACCTAAGTATACATTGTAATCTGTACGAGTTAATCTGTTCAGTTTAACTGTATCTAATGTTCCCTTTTGTACATTAGTCATGTATAATTCATAGATGTTATGTGATGTGGCTGGTGTAATTAATTTATCAGATATTTTAATATTATTTTAATATAATATTTACAGAGCTGGAAACTGATTAGTGTTTACACAATAAAGAGATTGCTGTCGGCTCACAACCCAGTAGCTGTTCCGCATTATTCTTTCTACTGGAACCTCGTCCGCTACTACATACCTATATCCATTTCACAATACACGTGGCATTATCACCAGGTGGGTGTTATAAGGTAACACAGAAGTGCTGAAATCCGTTCCACAATACATTATAACCAGGCATTATCACCAGGCAGTTAATATAAACTGGTTGTACTTAACCATCGTACATTAATTCCCATGTGGGTCTCCCACTGCTGTAAACCGCTCTTCAATGTGCTTCACCGGGAGGCCTTTGAGGATCAAAAACATTATGACTGAGGTATATGTGATTTCATATCACGTGACCAGAAACTAGCGACATGTGCATGTCAATATTACGCTTATGTTAATGATATAAGCCATTCTTCAATATCATACAGATATCTATATCATGCACATATCAGAAGTATTTCAGGCTCGTAGTATGACATCATATCAAGATACTGACTCTTTAATTGACGTCATCAATTGTCCATGACATTCAATGACTATTAAATGACGTCACATGGACAGGATTAACCGAACTACTATTTCCACTTCTGAGTAGGAGGCAGTTGCCTACATTTTCGTAAAACGAGGTTTTCTTGGAAGGAACCTGTCTCGTCTCTCTTGGCATGTTCTAAAAATGTGACACTCCGTGAAATAACTGATAAACTGTTGAATGCAGCTGCAAATGAAACTATTTTTTATAAAGAAAATATAATCTAAATGGAGAATCTGTATGTTCATGTCACATATGTTTATCCCATCAAATGACCAGAAAAACTCTGTCATATCACAAGGATTTGATAATTGGAGAATTATTAACGAGCTGTGAATTACTGAATGAATGAAATGACCCCTGAGAGTGAGAATATTGATTTGCTGGTGATTTGATGCCCCACTTTTCCAGTTCGAATCCCCTATAGGACTCCATAATGTTCTAGAATTTGCACTTTACTGAAAAAGCATTAACCCCAATATTTGGTAAAAGCAAAACAAAGGTTAAACGTATTTTTTGACTTGCTAATCTTCAAGATATTACCTTATTAAACGCTGAAAATAGTTTCTGTAGAAAGTGTTCCATTCAAGGGATAAACAATTTAATAATTTCACAACTAAAGACATACTTTTGAAGATTTATCTTGCCAAAGTAGGAAACAGATATTTCGAAAATGATGTGTTGTCTGTTTTACGAAGCATTCTGCAATACTGCATCAAATTCAAAATTATCATTTCTGTGGAAAAAGTCTGACCCCAAGTAAGAGGTAAAACAAGCTGACTAGTGCGTTTATAACTTTAGAGTAACAATTCAAAATCCAGTCACTTATCCTACGTTAGCAATCTACAAATGAGTTCAGCTGATTGCCACACTATTCGGTGATGCCTGAGAACGTAATGTTAAAAGTGCCATCCGATTACTCTCTATCGAGTTTTGTTCTTTCGCATTATTTATGCAGACCCGTCATTATAATGGCTGAGCATTTAATACACGACCACAGCGTTGACTAGAGTCCATAAATACATTACTGGGAAAACGATGTGATGGTATTTGAGGCTGTGAGCAGGAACATTTCAAGGGCTTGGCTCTTGAAACAGAGATATGTTTAGTGTATGGAACAGTTACATGTACGCTGTCGGTTCACGTACTTTCACTATGGCATCTAACAAGCTGAGTGTAGTGTCGTTATGTGTTGTCATCATTGCTGTGACATTCTCCATGGCTCTCAATGGATCGTGGGCCAGATCCGACATGTCAAACAGAGACAATGTAACTAAGCCCAACGTGTCAGCCGCAGTCACAGAACATGTAGTTAGATCCACCATGGCGGTCACAGAACCTGTAACCAGATCCACCATGGCAGTCACAGAGCCTGTAACCAGATCCACCATGGCAGTCACAGAACCTGTAACCAGATCCACCATGGCAGTCACAGAGCCTGTAACCAGATCCACCATGACAGTCACAGAACCTGTAGCCAGATCCACCGTGGCAGTCACAGAACCTGTAACCAGATCCACCATGGCAGTCACAGAGCCTGTAACCAGATCCACCATGACAGTCACAGAACCTGTAGCCAGATCCACCGTGGCAGTCACAGAACCTGTAACCAGATCCACCGTGGCAGTCACAGAACCTGTAACCAGATACACCAAGGCAGTGACAAAACTTATAACTAGATCGTCAATTTCAGTCGTTTCAACGCAATCCACGACATCCCATTTGTCTCTCACAGATGCCCGAGACAGAACAGCCACCGTGTCTCCCTCAGATACTCCAGACAAAACATACACCGTGTCTCCCACAGATGCTCCAGACAGAAAATCCACCGTGTCTCCCACAGATGCTCCAGACAGAACAACCACCGTGTCTCCCACAGATACTCCAGACAAAACATCCACCGTGTCTCCCACAGATACTCCAGACAAAACATCCAACGTGTCTCCCACACATACTCCAGACAAAACATCCACCGTGTCTCCCACAGATACTCCAGACAAAACATCCACCGTGTCTCCCACAGATACTCCAGACAAAACATCCACTTTGTCTCCCACAGATGCTCCAGACAGAACATCCACCGTGTCTCCCGCAGATACTCCAGACAGAACATCCACCGTGTCTCCCACAGATGCTCCAGACAGAACATCCACCGTGTCTCCCACAGATACTCCAGATAGAACATCCACCGTGTCTCCCACATATGCTCCAGACAGAACATCCACCGTGTCTCCCACAGATGCTCCAGACAGAACATCCACCGTGTCTCCCTCAGATACTCCAGACAAAACATCCACCCTATCTCCCACAGATGCTCCAGACAGAACATCCACCGTATCTCCCACAGATACTCCAGACAAAACATCCACCGTACCGTTCACTACAGATTATGAAAGGACAACGTTAGTCCCTGAAATAAAATTTATAGAAATGTGGGTCAACGCACTACCAATATCAACTCCAAACATTGGGCTTGGTGGAAACCCGTTGGATAGGCTCCTGAGTATACAAGTCCACCACGGCAACGATTGTCCCTTTGGTCAAGTCTACTACGACGGGGTAAGTTAACATTTACTTAACTTGTTAATCAATGCAGATGCATGTTTGCTTTAATATAACTGCCGTAACCTTGAAAAGGCACCTCAACTGCAAGGTTAGTTGTTAAGTTAAGGTTACCAAGTGAATGTAAAATCATGCGGCTTGCAAAAGGAACAGGCTTGATTAGGCTGGTTGTGGGGAGAATTGGAAATGAATGTGTAACACCCTCACCCTCACCCTCACCCTCACCCTTGATAACTTGGTAGGTTTATATACCCTAGAATAAAATATTTTCTGAGGGACTGGCCAGATAATGTGTGGGATGAGGTTTTGGATTGTGTATTGATACTAGATATATTACTGAGTCAAAAAAGAAACTTCACATTCTTTCTTCAGGGCATTATAAAAGAACAAGAGATGGTAAGATGGTTAAATTGTTATTATTTCATTGCTGAGATATGTGTGATGTACTCGATACACTGAGTGCCATAATCAGTTCCATTAGGCTACACCGCCGTTCCAAAACATGGGTATACAGAATGTCAAGTCACAAGAATAAAAATGCAAAATTTCTCAGTTCAATATCGTGTATGGCCGCCCCGCGCATTCACCACTGCCAAACACCGTCTCCTCATCGACTGCCTGATGCTTGTGATTCATCGCTAAAGACGACTCGATTCCAGTCTTTCTGGGTCCATCGGAGGTGACGTTGGGCCCACAGCAGACGTTGACGTTGATGAAACGGCGTCAATATTGGCCCACAATATATTGACGTCGAGAATGGAGATCGGCAGCCCGCAACCGATTTCGAATGGTCGATTGGACGGTCTTCTGCTCGTAACGTCACACGTGGACGACCCGAACATGGGCGAGCAGAAGTGGTGCCAGTTTGTTGTAGACGACCTCGCAAGTCATACACAGTACGACGGCTGCATCCCATTGCTCTTGCGACGTCAATAACTGATCTTCCCACTTGCAACATGCCAACGGCAAGTTCACGTTGCACATTTGACAATCGTGGCATTTCAAGTACCGTTAGAACTGTGGTTTAAAAGTGTTTTTCAATTCTTGAGGCCAATGCAAACACGTGCATATGAAGAAAACTTCGATGCGAAGATCGCGTCATCGACTGCACGTGCAAAACCTGATTTGGCACTAACGTCATTTGCACGAGGAATGGATGGGTTTGAGTGGGTTTTGCTAACGTTTTTTTCTAGAGTCGAAAGATAGGGATCCCATTTCGGATACATAGATGTATCATCAGAGAAAAAGGATTCATTATTTTTCAAATTACATTTTGTGGAGTTTCTTTTTTGACTCAGTATAGTTTCAGAAGCAAACCAAGATATTTTCTTCATAAACAATGAGTTTCCTAAAACAACAAGAATGTTCTAGAGCCTGGACACTTGTCTAAAACGTCTGGAGCATACTTTTATATCTTTGCTAATATTTTAGTCTCAAATCTTGTTTCACTGTGTAAATTATATACATTCACTCATATTTCAGTAAATTGGGTAAATTCTCATGTTTCGGTAAATTCAAGTAACATTTTATCTGTTTGTCTAATCGTTCAGTTCGGTGGTGTTCTGCGCTTGAATGCGCATCATATGACGATAACAACCTCAGCTTTGGTCACTGTTTCAGAGTTGTCACGTGACATGGCAAAACACAACACCGCGCCCATTTACTTCAACACAGGAATACATGTCAGCACCTCATACTGCAGGTACAAGCATCCAACAACGTTTTACAACAAAACCCCACGTGGGACCACATCCTACGACAAGAACATACGTGCAACCCCTAACGACAAGTACAGATGTTCAACATCCAACAATGGTACGCGTGAATTCACGGTCCAGTACAAGAGATTCTATATCATCGCCTTCATCACCTACCAGAGAAAACGATGCCATACTAATTAATGAACATACCCCTACTCCCTCTCCAACCACACACAACTACACTGGTGGACACTCGCAGCACCACAACACCACGGGGATGAATGAGAACGAGGACTTATCACACGAGTCTTCAGCAGTCACAGCATCAACCAACACATCTCCTGACCACGTCCTTAAAATAGCTGATACACAATCAACGACTTCACGGTTGCAGTGTATTCATATCATCTTAAACAACTCAACATTCAACATTTACCCTAATGGATCTGTAGTTCTGAAAGGTGGTAGGGTCATAAATGAAAACGATTTTATTCTCACACCAAAAGGACAACTGAAAGTATGTGTGACAGCTCTTGGTTCACAAGGTTCAAACACAAACTCAAAAATTGATCTTAACCGCCCAACTGTGGTGTTGACGAACATCTGTCTGGTGTCTAGCCAAGTGTTCCTGCTTCTGACTTTCATCTTTCACTGTTGCTTCTCTAGTCTGAGGAATCTTCCTGGAGTGATTCTTATGTTCTTGTCGGCATCGCTGTTCTTGGCACATGCCACCTTCTTCTTTGGGAGTGACGAGGCGTACAATCGTACAGCTTGTATAGCGATCGGAGTAGTCATCCACTTCTTCTGGCTTGCATCCTTCTGTTGGCTCAATATCTCTTCTTTCCACACCTTCAGAGTCTTTAAGGACGTATTTGCATCTCGGAGTTTTGAATCCAACAAAAAGACAATCATCCTCAAATACTGCATCTTTGGTTATGGCACTCCTGCTGTTGTTATTGCTGCAACGATAACAGCAAACTACTTCGTCTCTGGGTTTGAATCTTTTGGTTATGCTGATACCTCAAACTTCTGCTTCGTCTCAAATGGAACCAACAGTATCGTTGGGTTGCTGGTCCCAGCAGGAGTGACCATCCTGGTTAGTTTTACTCTCTTCATCTTGACCGTCGTTTACCTGTGTATGGCCTCAGCCAACAGACGAAAGGTCGGCAATGGTGACAAATGGAACATTTTAATGTACATCAAACTATCTAGTATCACTGGTGTCTCCTGGGTCTTCGGTTTTCTACAAATGGTTGACAGAAGCAGTAAGGTTTTCACGTACCTGTTTATTTGTCTGACTGGGGCTCAGGGCGTGTTCATCTTTTTGGCTTTCATGGCAAACAAACGCACTTTCCTTCTTGTTAAACATGCTTGTCGAAAGCAAATCAAGAATGGCAGATGTTTCAGAAAATCGCCCGACATTGACACAAAACGTCATGTTACATCTGATGTGCAGGACGCAAATAAGGTATAGAGAGTAACTGCCACGATTATGTGTCCTCTAAACCCGAACAAGAATAAAATATATTCTTCAAAAAAGAATCTATACATGCTGTTTTGGAGTTTACTTCCTGAATGCATATAACCGATTCAAATATGACACCATTGCTCAATTACAGTAAAGTTATCACTTTACAAATTCCAAAAACATAGTTATCTATAAAGCGTTTGGTAAAACGACAGGGGGCTGTTATAGCCACTTGGTAAGAGTAAAATGTCAGTATCTGGTGTGACCACCATGAGCATCGATAACAGCTTGGCAGTGGTGACCCATAGAAGAAAGGAGATGCCGAATGCTGCCTTGAGCAATGTTTGATTCTCTTGCTGAGGCGCTGTGTGCAGTTTTTGTAGTGTCTGAGGTGGTGGATTACGCAGGCTCAAGCGTCGATCATGAGTATCCCACAGATGTTCAATGGGGGACAAATCCGGTGATCGAGAAGGCCAAGGTAAGACCTGAACATTGTTTTGCTGGAGGAAGTCCTGTCAAACACGTGCAACGTGAGGTCAAGCATTGTCATGATCCAAAGATCAACCGTTGACGTTGATGAAGGGAACGACGTGACGTTGAACTGGTCTTCTGGCAAAAAGGTCTGGCTTCAAATAACCAGTTGCGCACTGTCTGGTCCGAGATTCGGCGCAGTCCAGGGATTTGGACTGTCGTGGATGATGCGGCCGTGGTGTTTCAATGCAGTTATCTCAATTGGATGTAGCGATCCTGGGCGGCGGTGGTAACTCTAGGTCGACCTGACCTGGGTCTGTCATTAACACCCCCAGTATTGTTGTATCGGGTCCATAGGTTTGAGATGGTCTGTCTGGACACGCTGAAGTGCCTTGCCACCTCATGCTGCAGTGACCGTCCTTGTAAACGGCCAATGGCGTTCTGTCGTTGAGCTTCTGTAACTCTTTTCATTCTCTTGTCGTCTATAGTGGCTTAAAGCAATGCATGTGGAGTACCATTGATGTGGCTTTTTAAAGCCTACAGTCATAGGCTTCAGCTCAAGGTGATACACAATTTCCACGATGCACGTGAATTTCATGTAGGGTGCGTTTTAGCGATTCACTACAGACGTGAGTGTAACGTTACATGTTTGTTTAAGGTGTGTCTTTTTTCAAAAGATTTGTCGTCGGCAACCCTTCCGCCACATGTTGGGATTCAGCATGGATTGGATTCTGTCAAATATTTTCTTAAAATTCAAATTTTCCTATGGATATTTTCTTTTTTTAAGAGTATATATGCATTAGATTTACATAGAAACAATACCCATTTCCTCGAATGGGGTGAAATGCATAAGAAACTATCAAAGTGGAAGCCGACCATTGATAAAATAGTGAAAATGTTATTCGAATGATAGGTAAACGAATTATTGCTAGCTGAAAATGTTAAGGCTTCGGAGAATGAAGTGTTCTGCTTGTACCTATGGGACACGAGTTAAAAGATGTCATTGTTTGTTTCACACTGTTTCACATCACATTGTAGCTGTGGAATTTACTTGATTAATTAGTTCTGGTCACCATGTCATCTTGTGTATCCATTGGAAACTGTGGATGTTGTTTACATATTGGCAAGTGCTTTCACATATTAGTTAGGTGTATTTGTTGTGACTGTTTTGTGGAAGATCAATGTGCGCGAACAGATCTGCTGTAGATACCTGTAGCTTTGTTTTGGTCTTTCATTGTATCAATGTTGTAAATGTAGTGGTAACAGTCAATCATAAAGTGAAACATTTCAAACCAAAATCAACACTTGCTGTAAAGTACATTGAAAGGGAATCATGTTTGTTTGTGTATTGTATAAGG